GTCATCTATATATTCGAAGTTCATCTACGTATCATCATAAAGTTAATAGAAAGAAATGTGTTTATGCATAAAAGCATCTTGTTAAAAGAAATAAAGATTTTTATAGTTTTAACAGTAAGTTTTATTCACTTTTACATAAGGTACTTAGAAAATTTCGAAACGTGTATTAATTTATCTGTTTTTGTCATTTTTATACTACATCAAAATTAACATACTTGCATGGCATAGTTTGGACATAACCCTACTTTGTGTATACTTTACTGTCATAATTTAAAAAACACAACTATAGTTTCTTAAATCGTACCACCTATTGATTAGTTATATTGTATCGGTACAATTTAAGAATTTCCAAAGAAAACTACATCTGACTATTGTTCTTAAAGTCTCTATAAAAAGTAGAAATGTGCGAACTATTCGAATTTGAATCGAATCGAATCGAATCGAATCTAATGTAATTCGATTCGATTCGAATCCGAATCCCTATGAATCCAAATAATTCAAAAATTTCTAATCGCCAAGATTCGAATACGAATCAAATACTTAGCGTTTGCGCGCATTAGCTACAAAACAGGTTATCTGAGCCTGTATGTTTAAACTCTTAACTTGTAATTAACTTAACTTACAATTAATAAGTTAATTATAAATTACTTTAAATATTTAAATACATATTTTATTTTAGGATATTACAATATTAATATTCCCTTTCATATTAAAATGTATCATTATTTGCATGTTTAATAGTCATGTTAAATTTGTTAATGATTCGATTCAATTTCATTCGATTCAATTCGAATTCGAATGAAATTTCATAGCTTCGATTCAAATTGGAATTTAAAAAATGAGATTCGATTCGATTCGATTCGATTTGACATAAAAATTCTTGATTCGCACATCTCTAATCAAAAGTAGTATATGTTTTTCCTTTATGTCACCTACACTTATTTTGTTTTATTAAAAAACATATTTGTTTAATAGTTGTTTATTTCTTAATTAAAATTTAAAAAACAGAAATATTTTACTTTTGTAATTTTTATTTCGAGAATGTAATAGATAAATTCTACAATTTTTAGTTACGTAACCAAAAAATGATTTTATGAATATAAAAGTGAACTATCATATAAAATATACTTCATATAAAAATGAATATAATTTTGATAATTTTGATAATTATTTTAATAAATAATTTTAATATTTATTTTTAATTGAAAGTGTTTTTTCACTTTTTCATATAAACTATGATTTTAATTAATTTCTTAACTAAGTTTCTAAAAACGAAAATATTTAGTCTTTGTAATTTTAATGTTCATTTTTTAGTTAAAAAATATTGTTTAATGTAAACTTAACTTCAATTAAACACGTATTTATTTAAATTGTTTATTTTATTTTTACCCCTTCATAGTTTTTAAATTAATGACATCGGTACGATGAGAGAAACACGATACAATTTGAGAAACTCTAGTACAATTTAAGCAACTAGTTGCCAAAATTTTACCAGGTTTTAAAAAAGATGTATCTGCAGATAATATTGTGCAAATCTTTCAGAAAATTATAGAATATCAGGAACAAATCAAGGATAACTTCCAATTAGTCTTTATCAATTTTATTAAATATTTGTAAATCATAAAAAACATCGAAAACCAGTTCAATATAGGCAACCTTCCCTTATTACTACCAAGCATTTTCCGCTACTCATGTATTTTATATCTTATTTTATATCAAACATCGAGATCCATTTTTAGAATTGATTCTTCTAAGTTTTCATTTAAAATGTCAATATATTTATCAGCATTCATGATTCCATTTATAGCTACTAAATTTCCAATCTCATACCACGAAAAACAAGCCTATATCATTATTGCATTTCCTCCATACTTGATTGTTGGTACAACATATTGCTTCTTTAGAGCTTCATTCGGTTTCCTCCACACCTATGCTCTCTTGTTTTTATTCTTCTTGTTAAAGAAACATTCTTGGATGTGAAATACGTTTCGAGCGGAATAAAAAGAAAATTGAGCGTAATTGCACTCGACCTAATCGTGTGGATCGAACACGCTATAGAACGAAATGAATATAGCATGTGGTTTGAACGAGAAGAAAGAAAAAAGACGAGAATATATATAGAGAAGTATAGAAAGTACGCGAGTAGACCTGAAGTCTTTCCTCTTTATTTGCACCGTCACGCTTCTTCTATACTTGAAACGAAATACATATACGTATATACTTGAAATTCAGTGGAATAAAAACAAAGAGAAAGAGAGAGAGAGAGAGAGAGAGAGAGGGAGGGAGGGAGGGAGGGAGGGAGGGAGAGAGAGAGAGAGAGAGAGAGAGGGGGGAGAGAGAGAGAGAAAGAGAGAAAGCAATTTACAAATATGCAAAGTGCAGCTGAAAAAAATATATCTCCTCCCTGTAGTGACAATGAATATTCATTGATTATGTGTTGCAGATAGTTAACCATCTTGTTTATCTCTTTCGCCGTCAATTTTTACTTTATGCACCGAAACGAAAAACTGACACTATTTGACTATAATTGCGCATTTTTACATATCATGCGTCAATCGCAACAATTTATTTTTAATTAAGAAAAATTACCAAAAATCCTAAACCGACCTTTTCGTCCCAATTTTATATTTAAAGATATTCGAAATGCGAGGAACTTTCTAGAGTCGATCTTATTTGCCACTTATATTAACTAAAAAGAATTATAAAATTGCATTGATATTTAATGAATGTAATGGTATTTACTGAAGAATCGAATTAATTTAATGCAAATGTCGACAATGCTAACATAAAATTTCGATATATTATCCTCCTTCCCTAGTAGCACACTTCATTGACGTTACATTGGTGTTACATTGGCTACGGTGACATAAATTGGGGTTACATTGGCCCAGTGCATCCCAATATACAGCCAATATTGGTTAGATATTAAATTACAATATTGCATAGCATTGTTATACCAATATTAACTTATATCGGGGTTACATTGGCCCAATGTATCCCAATATGCAGCCAATATTGATTAGATATCAAATTACAAGATATCGCCAATATTGATTAGATATCAAATTACAAGATATTGCCAATATTGCATAGCATTGTTATACTAATATTGACTTACATTGGGGTTACATTGGCCAATATTGGGGGCCCAATTTGTAGCTAATATTGGCCCAACAATAGGCCTGTTTTTTATCGCTGAACTAATGTACACTCAGGGAACGTAAAAAGAAATAGATATACATCTAGGAGTTAATGAAAGGGAGAGAAGAAAAGAATAAGTGCAAGTTAGTGAAGCCAGTTCAGCAATAGAAAACAAACCTATTATGTGCTACTAGGGTTCTTTCTGCCCGCCAAGAATGAACGATATTTAAGAAGAAACATAAATAAATGATACAATATAGGTAAGCTGTTAAGAAAATCGACATAAAAAATCTAAAGATTAAAAAACAAATGATTAAATTTGTTACAGTACTTCTATTTACTCTGTCCAAAAAGATGAAAATAAATTGAGATCAATGCAGAATAAGTAAATATTTATCCACCGTTTTTTGAATTGCGAAAACATTTGTATTTAATTTTGCAAGTTAAATTTCTGCGCATTTACTTTAATTTACCTACTTTCGTGGGATATATTCCGTACCGCTTTCAGCATATATTCCGTACCGGTGGGTAATTAACGCGGATAATTACGAATATTGAGATATATAGTTAATAGCAACGGTATATGTAAATTAATGCTATTATATGATCGCTCGAACACTGGGAATTTTTTCGCTATATTTCATAAGTGATATACTCTCGCGACAAGAGAAAAAAGCGAAAAAATTTGAAGCAACTTTCGGACCGACTTCATGCAAACGCGACGTAACACGATATAAATATGGCGTCGTCGTCCTTTATCACGTTACACGTGTCGAATATATTTATTTACTCACCGTATGAATGTGACCACCGAATGAATGTTATCCGATATATTGTCCGTTTATATTATGCATTATGTAATAAACACATAACTATACAATATCGACGCTTTTGTAAAACAAGCATGATGCCAAAAATAAATGTCAGAAATAATGCCTGCATAAGCGATTAATTCGATTTTTTTAATAGCATATTTTCGAATAAAAAGTTAACGATTACGACGTACCTTCGCTCTTCTTTTTTTAATGACGCTATTTCTTTATTTGGTTATTAATACTCTTATTATGATAAAAAGTGTTTACGTTATATAGTTGTACATAATATTATTGTAAAAGCGTATACATTTAGACTTATGTTACTTTAACATTAATATATAATTACTCTAGTCGTTTTACTTGTCTCAGAAAATTATTAAAATCGTGATAAATAATTTATATGGTTCATATTCCATTGTACCTACATATAGATACCCAGCAAACACAATATTACATGTAACGTGCATGTTAGTTGTAATTTTCTACTCAGCAATATAACTGTTATATAACAGTTATATTGTTGAGTAGAAAATTACAACTAACATGCACGTTACATGTAATATTGTGTTTGCTGGGTATATATTTCAAAGCAAATAAAAATTTATAATTTTTAAGTATTTACACGAGAAATGTTGTATATGCGATAAAGATATAAATTTTTATTTATACAGGGTTTCCCAATATATATATCGTATTATCACATTTTCTTTTCCTGATATAGATTCCTAATCAATTTGAGGAATTAATATACTTTTAACAAGTAATTTAATATGAACTATAATTTTATGGAAAACAACATATTTCCGACAATTCTTTAATTTTCAGAGGATTAAATAGCTAAATCTTGAATTAAAATTTTTATTAAAATCTTTTATTAAAACAATACCCGCTAAAATCTGTCAAACTCTAATATTCATGTGTATATTTTCGTTAATAAAATCTAATTTTTCTCTTTTCTTCTTGGAATCTATGATCAAAAGAAGATGCGACAATTAATGGACACTGTAGGATATATCCTTTCCGAGATTGACAAGGAACTTAAACTTGAAAGTGGAAGACTGAGATAACTTGTGCCCGATGTATCTTTGGACTGAAATCAATCTCAGACACTTTATTTTCGTTCCCTTAATGGACCTTTATATCACAAACGTACAGAAAATTTAGACATTGAGACACACTTGACAACAAATGCATTTCGCTCTGCGTTCGCTCTCGGAGGTCCGTATGCGGAGTCGTCCCAGTGGTATCGTCAGCTCGCACGTATATCCCACAGGAATAATTTACTCGTGAACATTGCAGTTATTTCTCCGGTATCTCCGGGAAATGTTCTGTAAAGAACTGTCAGACACGTTCTCGCTCACGCGTTGCATCGCAAAGCTTGAGTAAGTCCCTTGGGACAGTAAGGAGGGAATTGGGTTGCCACCTTCCAATTTTTACTTCCCTCTTACAACTCTGCACACGATCTTCCGAATCAAGATCGACTCCAGGCCCCGCGATGAAAAAAAACAAAACGGGAAATATTTCTAATTATTTTTCTGATTAAAATCATCTTTTCGATAAAAACCAATGCGTCAATCGAATAGATTTCATTAATCATAAGCAATTTTTATATCATTCTCTCGAGTTTTTAAAAGATTAAAAATATTTGGCGTTGTTTTTTATCTTGGAAAAGATCCTGAAGTCAATCCTGCTCAAAGTTAATATAATTTTTCTCTACCTTTCCTCACAACGAATAAATCTCATTCTACGGAATATAAAGTTATAATTAGGTAACGTAGCTTGTTTCGTAACTTTTGTAACAAGTTCCGAGAACGTTACTTTCGACAAATGTAAAGACATTTCCGAAGCTTGTTGCAAATTTTACAAAACACCCTGTATTCTCTCTCTCTCTCTCTCTCTCTCTCTCTCTCTCTCTCTCTCTCTCTCTCTCTCTCTCTCTCTTTCTCTCTCTCTTAGGATCACGATATTGCAGTAGCGTAATATTTCTGAATATTTAAATCCTTACCTCTTAAAACCTTTACATACCAATATCTCCCGACGCTTACAATCTTGCAACGCCACTTGTGCATAACAGCAACATCAAAAATCTTGTTTTCATCTTTGATCATAAATACAAAGAGTGGCACTTTAAAAACTTCATAAACGAATGTATAAAAAAATCGATATCTCCCTCCATCTGTCGTAACTTGCATTTCGCGCAATTACATGCAGAGTTGACCTGATACAATTTACATTTGTTGTCCCTCGACTAATTTCACGAAAGTCATTTCACTAGTGGACGGACGCCGGCGGCGTCACTTGTTCTTCATAATCATCGTCCGCCTAGTCACTCGGCCGCAGAACATACCGATAATAAAAATAAAACCGACCATGGTGCAACCGACAATCATGAAATAACGTCGCGCGGGAGAGAGATTCACCGTCGTATAAAGTTCTTCAATCGTATTTGGCGCGATCAACTGCAAAAGCATAACAAGACGCAATCATCACCAGATTATCAAAACAAAAACAAAGATATTCGCTAAAAACTAACATATTCTTTACAGACCTTGGCAGCATTTCTAAACATTTCCATCCTTGTAGTCAACATTTTATAGCAGTCGGGCTGCAAAGATTTGTTGCTGTCTTCCAACGCATTTTGTAGACACATTATGTCTGTCGTCGTGCATAATATACGATAATTAATAAATTATTATTTTATTCATCATATTGTTAGCCATATATATGGAATAATTTAAATATGCAGTAACTTATGCAGTAACTTATTCGTGGTAAAAAAAGTATTTTTATATTTAAAATTTTGTATGAAACATTACATACGTCTTCCAGCGCCTTGAGGAACAGAACTGCAGTACTTGCTGACATCCACAGCGCAAGCTTTCTGTAGCAAAGGATCCACATTGATATCTGCCCTTGTCTGTTCTATAAGATCAGCGACTTCCAACCGACATTCTTCCTTCATGTCTCGATTCCCGGCATTAAATTTCCTCTTGAGACATTCCTCGACAGCACCAGGCTCATTCTCATCTGATCGACATATCGTTTCAATCTGACAAAAATAAATTTCACGAGTTTATATCCAATTAAATAGTATAATCCTACTTAGAAGAACAATTAAATAGTATATTCTGTATATAGTAATTCTGTTATCTATCTTACTTCGTGCGCACACATTGTTGCCAATAATGGGTTTAAATGATAATTTAGCGCAGCTTCTCTGAGAATATTAGCCATTTGATGTTCACATTTAGTGGTCAGTTTAGATTCACGAAATCTGATTTTCAAACATCTTATGACTTTTCCTTCAAGCTCCTTATCAGGGGGCTCATGCACTAATACCTAAAATACCACGTACGCATTAATTGTTAAAAATAAATTAGGAACAAAAGCATCGTGGATATAAATTTAATCGGAACTTGTAATTCAGTTTTCTACCCAACGTTCTATTTTTACCTCTTTGCAATGCTTATCGATATCGTAGAAACACGCATTTTGTAGCGCGTTGTTGAATCTATAGTCCGTGTTCTGTTCAATCATTCTTCGAATTACAATGTTCTTGCATTTATCGTCGAAAGTGAGCTCATCTTTGTATCGTTTAAGGCAATCCAAAGTTTGCGATCTGCTCACATCGTGGCAATATTGCCTGATCATAACTCGACAAGTGTTTAGTAAAGGAAAATCACTGGAGCTATCCTGGAACTCCTGCTTTCTCACCTTGAATAGTTGTTTGTGGCACACATCCGATAATTTAGATTTGTGAGATGCCAGGCACTCTAGTACCTGAAAACAATCTAGTTCTCAACATGGTTCATCATTGTATTAATATTTGTTTAACCCATTAACACCTGAAAGTTCGAAAATTTCTGTTCATTTTTTAGCCTCACTCTCATTCATACAAAGGAGAAGAATTTATGGCAAAAGAGTGTTTTCTACTAAAATCGGGTCTGCTCTTTCCGATTCTGGCATTAAAAATTAATTTATCCCAACCAGGAAAAAATATGGCAGATTTTTATCCAAAAAACACGAAAAAATAGATGAACGATTTTTTTCAAATAATTTTTTTCGAATCGAAGTAGCATGCAAATTTAAATCTCGAGTCAACCAAGAGTGCATAAAATAGTTATACTTTCAAAACGTTTTTTTTGTTTTCATCTGACGACATGACGGTTCCAAAATGACGGTTAGAAAGAGAAAAAATTGAAATATCGGGATTTCTTAAATATTTCGATCTAATTCACATAATTATTCCCTTTCAAACTTCTTGCAACGATATATTTGTCGTCGATGATAAACCTTTATGCAAAATTAATAATTATGATATGGCAAATTCAAGATGGCGGTCATAAAAGGGATAAATTGTTGATTTTCAAACGTTTCTTCCGGATTTTCTCCAAAAAATTGCTTTTTTTCTCAATATCGTAAATAAACAGAACAATATCTTGATATAAATCAGTTTTCATAAACTTTGATTCTTTAAGATAGTTCGTGAAAAATTATAGCGTGAGGTAAAAAAATTTCTAAACTTCAAAATTTCTAAAATTCAAAAATTTCTAAAACAGATTTATTGATTGAAAAATTTAATAGAGGAAGTGAGATAAGATACTGACATATTATTTACACAGCATTCATGAAACTTTCTCATATTTAGAAATTCTAGAGTTGAGGCAAGAATCAGCCAAAATATTGCTGCAAATTCTATTTATCGCAGACAATTCGCTAGCAGGTGCAAAAAAAGCGAGTTTTTAAGTTTTAACTGTGACATTTAAAATTCTGTTTGGACCAGCAACAAAAAATAAAAATAAAAAAAAGTTAAAGAAAAATAAATAAACAAAAAAAAATTCTGTAACTCTTGTGACTTATATTTTTGCAAACCTTGTTTTGCTAAGCATGTATGAAAGGCTTTAAACTTCTGAAAATTCATAAAACTATAGAAAATTGCAGAAAATGGAAAAATTGTACCAAATTAAAAAAATAAGAAAAATAAAAAAATTTTAAAAATTTTAAAAATTAAAAAATTAAACAAAAATAAAATATAACATATAAAAATAAAAATATAAAAACATATAAATATAAATATAAAAAAATATAAAAACAAAAATAAAATATAAAATAAAAATTAAAAAATTAAAAATTAAACAAAAATAAAATATAACATATAAAAATAAAAATATAAAAACATATAAATATAAATATAAAAAAATATAAAAACAAAAATAAAATATAAAATAAAAAGAAAGACTCTTAGTCGTTCATCTCCACGCGGTAAGAGTTGGGCAACGTAAGAAGCTTACGGCTAACGAACGAGCAATTACAATTATTATCTTTCATATTCATGATATAATGATCTACTACTACCTCTCGTTCTATAACCTCTAGAACTCAAAATTCATAGAAGCTCATTCGTATCAATCTGTAGTTTCATTAGTAAATAATGAACAAAAAAAGCAATTTTTTGGAGAAAATCCGGAAGAAACGTTTGAAAATCAACAATTTATCCCTTTTATGACCGCCATCTTGAATCTGCCATGTCATAATTATTAATTTTGCATAAAGGTTTATCATCGACGACAAATATATCGTTGCAAGAAGTTTGAAAGGGAATAATTATGTGAATTAGATCGAAATATTTAAGAAATCCCGATATTTCAATTTTTTTCTCTTTCTAACCGTCATTTTGGAACCGTCATGTCGTCAGGTGAGAACAAAAAAAACATTTTGAAAGTATAACTATTTTATGTACTCTTGGTTGACTCGAGATTTAAATTTGCATGCTACTTCGATTCGAAAAAAATTATTTGAAAAAAATCGTTCATCTATTTTTTCGTGTTTTTTGGATAAAAATCTGCCATATTTTTTCCTGGTTGGGATAAATCGATTTTTAATGCCAGAATCGGAAAGAGCAGACTCGATTTTAGTAGAAAACATTCTTTTGCCATAAATTCTTCTCCTTTGTATAAATGAGAGTGAGGCTAAAAAATGAACAGAAATTTTCGAACTTTCAGGCGTTAATGGGTTAAGATAACTATATAACTATATTCCACAAAAATGGTATTTTTTATCATTATAAGTATTTGAAAAAGAAACAAACATTTATTCTTTTACTCGTGTTATTAATAATATATAATAAACGTAATCATTATCATCATCATAAAATAATCATAATTGTTTTTATTAATCATGAAACCCTTTCAAGTAAAAATTATATGCATGTAATATACAGGATATCCCATTTTAATATCCCATCCCAAATAACTCTTCAGTATTGAAGTTTCGAGGAAAATGATCTGAATAAAAGTTGTAGGGATTTATAAGTGAGCTACCTTATAATGACCTTGACTTTGATCTTGACCCCTATTTTCAAGGTCATTTGAAGGTCTAATTAAGGTCATTTGAAGGTCAACTTGCGTTTTTTAAATGGGAATCCTTATTTTTTATTACACTTTTTTTCTACTGGTTAATTTGAACAACTTTTGTCTAAAACATTTTTTTATTTGTCTAATATTTTTTTAGATATTTAACGAAAACTTGATAACTTTTTCAAAATTTAACTTACGATATCTCGCTAATTATTTGTCGGAAGAAAAAGTAGTACTAGACTTTCTTGCTTTATTTAGTCCCAAGAATATATTGTTACAATAGCGCCCTGATTTTTGTTTGATGATTTTTGGAAATTTCAAAATCATTTGGGGTGAGACATTAAAATGGGACACCCTGTATAAATAGATATATGAGAAAACGAGAGATAACCATTCTATATTAGATATATTAGGTACTGCTGCTTACCTGTGAATTGCCTGGTTCTACGTTGAAACAATATTGTTTGATATCCGTTGCGCAAGAAGTTTGTAGAACGGGATCAAAATGTATGTTCTCCCGCTGTTGATAAAGTTGCGCTCGCAGTTGCTGCCTACAATCCTTCAGCACCCGATGCTGGGACTCTTTCATTATGTCCTCTTGCACGATCAAACTTAAGCATTCTATCACATCGGCTTTCGTCTTCGATCTAAATTGACGAAAAAATACGAATTCACGTACATTCTCGAGTTTTTAGATATATTTAAATTCTGGAATTATAAATTTTCTTAAATTCTTTTTCACACAGTTCCAAATTAATTACCTGGAGCACCATCTCTTAACGTAAGGTCTACATGCTTCCTTGAACTTGTATGTAAAATGATAATTCTTCAAGGATATCAATTGGAAATGTTCCACGGCTGCTTTACACTTGTAATCAGAACGTGCGTCCAGTTCATTTTTGTGTTCAATGAGACATTCCATCATGTCTCCCTCATCTTTTCCATATTTCAATACTTCCTAAAGAAAGACACAAATATCATAGAAATTAAATAAACAAAGTAAATATGATAATATAAAGCATACCTCGCAATGACGTTCCATGATATGTTGACAAGCTGAAGAAATGATTGGATTCAATTCAACACGTTCCGCTTGTTCCTCTGTGAAATTTCCAACTGCAAGCTTGCATTTTTTATTCAGGCTGCAATTAATACAGATCAGATCATAAAATTATATTTTAATATTTCTATGAGAAACAAAAATAACTTCGTAAATCGTGTAAATTATTTAAATAAATATCTATTTCATTTCATGTATTATTTTCAATTATAAACTGTAAACGTTGAAATAGTAAGCATAAACTAAAATTTTCTTTAAATACTCTTTTCTTAAATATTTCAAAATTTAATGAAAACTTTGTACAGACACGATAAGACAGGCATGAAATTCTTGTGTTCGTATCTCTTAATAAATGATAATTGGAAAATTGTCGCATTAAACAGATATATATTCAAATGTCTTTTAATTTATAATGTCAATATTATTTAAGATGATAAATACTTGTCTAAATTATCCTGCAGACAGAGGATTTCTTCTCCTTTTGCAGTTTTATCATAACAGAGTGAAGCTAACTCATTGAAACATACTTCTTCGATTTCAGGTTGTAAATCAACATTTACAGCACGCTGCCTCATAACTCTCCTAATCTCTTCCAAACAATCTGCTTTCAACTAAACAAAGTATAAAAATAGTAGTTAAAAACAAGAAGAACCACTTTCAAAAATAATAATAACTATTAATATAACATAGAAATATAGCATAGATCATTATAGTTTAAAGCATAGATCATTATAGTTTAATTATTAAACTAAATTAAAAATTTGTTATACTTATTAATCACTTATCCGGCCATACTTATTAATCACTTATTAATCTTACCGTCATATTTTTCTGATATGCGTGCCTGTACAAGCACGGTAGAACGAGAGGTCCTGTTTCAGGGTCCATTTGTTTACCATCATTGGCCCAGGCATTTCTCGCATGACACAAACGCACAGCGTCAAATCTACACGCTTTATACAATTGTGGGTCAAGTTTGAAGTCTCTGGCGATAAAATATTGTATTTGCACTAAAGCTGTCTCACAAGCTTCCGTCATCCTCTCCGTTCCTAATTGCTCCATCAAACAAGATATTACTCTGGCATCTCCACCATGCACCTAAATTAAATATATAACCAACATATATGTACCGGGTGTTTCAGATCACCCAATTTTTTCGTTAATGCGACATTTTAGAGAAAAATATTTCAGATAAAAGTTGTAGCGCTTCAAAAGATCTATTTACTGACGCTATGAATTTGACCTTGGGATAACCCTGAAAAATCTAGTCAAGATCAACATAAAAATCTTAAATGGATACCCCAATTTTTTATTACATCATCTTTTTCTAGCAATTAATTTGAACAACTTTTATCTGAAACATTTTTTTATTTACCTAATATTTCTTGACTTTTGTTAACTTGCTGATTTTTGGAAATTTCGAAATCATCAAATTAACCAAATTCAGGGTGCTATTGTAACAATATATTCTTGAGACTAAATAAAGCAAAAAAGTCTAGTAACACTTTTCTTCCGACAAATAATTAGCGAGATATCGTAGGTTAAATATTGAAAAGGTTATCAAGTTTTCCTCAAATATCTCAAAAAATATTAGATAAATAAAAAAATGTTTCAAACAAGAGTTGTCCAAATTAATTGCTAGAAAAAGATGATGTAATAAAAAATTGGGGTATCCATTTAATTTAATTTAAGATTTTTATGTTGATCTTGACTGACTTTTCAATGTTATCCCAAGGTCAAATAGCGTCAGTAAATAGATCCTTTGAAGCCCTACAACTTTTGCCTGAAATATTTTTCTCTAAAATGTCGCGTTAACGAAAAAATCGAGTGACCCGGGTGGTCCGAAACACCCGATATAAGGTGTCCCAGAGCACCCATACATCCTTTTTAAGATAAAGGGAAATAGTTTTTAACAAGAATCCCGAAAATTTGTGATTAAATGGGGTATGCTCTATCCAATGATAATATTTTCAACTTCCAGTATTGATTAAAAATTAACTATGTAGACTGAAAGCTGAATTTTTAGAACGGAACATAGTACTTTTTATTACATATTCGGATTATATACATAAAAACAAGAAACTTTTGTCGCAAATATTTTTATCTGAAATGCCACGAGTGACCTTAAAGTAATATTGAAAATATGATAAAAATAGTACAATAAGGCAATGATAATCTCAAGACGCGCGATTATATATTAGATCTAATAGTTAATTCTTTCCGATGGAATTTCCGATGGACGTAACCCATAGCAAAATTTGAAGTTAAAATTCTCTCCCCCTTTTGCGATTTTAAAGTGTTGACATTTAACTTATCGAAATGACATACAGTTTGGAGTTTGATGCACATAATCTCAAATCAGTAGTGTTCACGATGGCTATCAACAAAGAGCATTCGGTACACGATATATTTTGCATTTCATTTAAACGCTTCTGAAGCAGCCAAAATGATTTGTGCTGCTTACAATGAAAATGCTGTAACCGATCGCACGTGCCGAAATTAGTTTGAATGTTTTCAAAGTGATGATTTTGATCTTCACGACCAGCCACGCCCCAGTTAGCCAAAAAAATTTAAGGATGAGGAGTTGCAAAATCTGCTGAATAAAAATACGGCGCAAACACAAGAACTTGCGGTAACTGAGAGTAAACCAGAAAGTTATTTGCAATCGTTTACATCATATAAGAAAGATACAGAAAGAAAGGAAGTGAGTTCCACACGAGCTAACCATTGACAACAAAAATCGCCGATTAACCACATGCGTTACTTTGCTTACCAGACAATAAAAAAAAAGATATTTTGCATAAAACCGTAATTGGTGACAGAAATGGATTATATGTGAAAATCCTAAATTCAAAAAATCATAAATAAATCCTGGTCAACCGAAAACGTCGACAGCACAACCCAAACATTTCGGAATGAAAGTTCTTCTCTGTATATGGTGGGATCAGAAGGGTGTGCTGTACTATGAGATTCGCAGCGGCCGCGTGAAATATACTTTTATCACACTTTCAATGTCATCTCAAAGTCACTGGAGGCATTACAGAAAAAAATATAACATCACAGATCGATGGAAATATGTTAAAATGTAAGGAAAAAAAGAAAAGAGGTGATTGTATTAATAAAATACTAGTTATAGAAATAGAAATAACACATGGATAGAGATGTGAGTGCATGAGTTAAGAAAAATTGAATAAATTGAATAAACCATGTCCCTTCTATAAAAGCTGAAGTATTAAAAATAAACATATTAATCTTTCATTTAATATCATTCTAAATTGCAACATCAATTTGTTATGTTTTTGTTTATCAAAAATATTACAAAAATATTAGTAAAATAACAAGTTTGAAATTTTTTGTAAATCAGAAGTTGCTATAAATTAGAATTATGCTTATATATATGGCTTCAAGTACGTGTACTGAATGAAAACTCGCCTTCATATATAAAGTTTACTCACGTCTCTGCAAGCCAAATTAACCACAGGTTGACATTGTTCCCTTAGAACCGGGTCAATTCTCCAATCTTCACCGACATCGGCTTCTAGGATTAACTCCTCCAACTAAAATTAATGCAAGTGTAAAATATACCATAAGAAAATTGATAATATATACATATATCTTGTAAACATTTTATAATATATATATTCAAAAGCATTCTTTTTCTCAGAAGTTATATCATATAAATGAGCACGTTAATTTTTAGAAACTCTGAATTCTAAGATCTTCATTTTTTCCTAAACAATTCTTTACCGCTCTTTGGCATTTTGGTGTAACCCTCGATTTCTTTTTTCTCGTCCTTGTGTGCTCCATTAAACAATGTATTGTAGCACCGCCGACTTCGAGGCTATTGCAAAAAGTTGTGATGTCGTTCGCACAACCGTCTACGATCTCCGGTGACAATCTGTAATCCTCCATCAAGAGTTTTCTGTGATCGAACATTTCCGCCTGACAATTTCCATCTATCTTGCTGCCATTCTTCACAGCAGACTCCAAACAAAGCAAAATTTGGGCCAACTTGATTTCTTTATCTTCAGATACAGACCGCCTGCAGTGATAATTTCTTATATCTTCCTTACAGGCTTTGACTAGACCTTTGCTAATTTTGTAATCGGAAGCAATGAGCTTCTCTCTCCTTGTCAACTGCTCTTGACATTGCCCGGTCATCGATCTATTAGTAGATAACACATTTTTAAAAATGATAATTCCTTGATTCTGTTGTTACATCAAAACTTAGATATTGCTAAATATTTTAATATCTAATACTCAAAGTTTTTGTAACCTTTAAGCTATTAAATTCTAAGACTTGGATTAATATAAAGGCATTTAATCATGTTGTATCGGTACTTACCTATCAGTTTTATGTTGCATCAAGCATTTATAAACCTGACCACTGCCCGGTCGAATGTTAGGGCAGAATTTAATGCGATCTTGAGTACAAGCCATATATAGTTGCCGATCCAGCTTGATATTCTCAGCCTGGATCTCAGACACATGAAGAATATGCCTTCTACATTCCTGTTGCAATTGCTCAACATGATCTTGTAGACAAGCTAATATCTGACCTTGTGATATGTCTCTGTATGGCTGCAAACTATCACACTTGAACTTTCTAATATCATTTGCACAGTCTGTCTTAAAGGGAGTCAGAATTCGGAAATCACTAAAAGCAATCCACTCCAATCTCTGGATATAGGTGATACAATCAGGATCTCTAACCATTTCTCGTTTATCAATCAAACAAGATAAGTAAGCTCCATGGGTATAATCAGAACTGGAACATTGTAAATTATCCAACTGTTTGCCGCACGCTTTCCTAGCTAATCTCTCTATATGTACATTGTCTGTAATATTCTGGATATAGCTCCAAATTGCTTCTTGACACTTCTGATCAATTCCAGATATCTCAGTAGGCTACAAAGTAACAATTGTGATAGTTATTAGAAGTTAGACATTAGGGAATTATAGCACATAAACCTAAATCTTTTTCTCTTAATTTCCTTTGATTTCATATATACCTTGAAGGTTTGAATACATTCAAGTAGTACAAGTTCATCATTATTCCTGCTTATATCTCCACAGAGATGATTTAACTTGTCACGACACTTGTCATTTGTGATCATCAGTAAACCTTCAATCTTGGGTTCTCTTCTAAATTCTAACAAATTTCTTTGAGTCCACTTAGCTGTAACAGCATTATTGAAAAAGAGCCAAGCAATTTTGGAAGGCTCGTCAGTCTCCTGAGTAAATGCATCTTCAAGATAAGCTGATATTGTACAATGCAATACTGAGAAGATAAGAAATATATGAAGTATTTGTTTTGTATGTTCCATCCTTAGAGTGATTAAAGTTTATTTCTTAATGAAATCATTACACCAATGTTCTGTAATGAATATATAACTACATTAAATACAAATAACCGCTCAAGATAATGCTATTTTTTTTTTTATTTAAAGCTGTTCGAATAATATAAGAGAAACAAATGATACAAGAAACTTCTTAATATAAAAAATTAACAAGAATACAACCTTAAGATTATTTTTGCACCGTGGCCGAATTTTTCTAATATTTCTTTGAGGCTTGTTAGTCACTTACTGTATGACGTAAACGTCATAAACGCACAAATGCATTATTACTAAAGCGATATAAGCGCATAAAATGATTGGTACCGAATGACATGTAACATATAGTGAAGACGCACACTGTGCGTTTATTTTTACAGCGTCATCTCGTAGAACACAACATACACTATCTACAGTAAAATATCGACATTTTCCTTCGGTACAACCGATATCGATAACACAGAAATGCAGAATTTTCTCAATTATAAAAAGAAATCGCGAAACAAGGTTGAAACATATAGTCTCAATAATATTCATTAGGTAAATAGCAAACTATTAAATGTTAATATGAAATATTTGTCTAAGATGATGCATAAGATATTTATATTTATGTAAACGAAACGGCGGTAGAAAAAGTAGAAAAAGAAAGAAAACTTAATGAAATTAAATCTAATAAGATTAAATCTAATTTATGAAAAATATCTCAATATTTATTTTTTCTACTTTTTATTTTTTCTTAAAAGCCAATTGAACTTATGAACGTTTCACGAAATGCATTTTAGAATTACCCGAAATTTTCAAAAAGTTTATAAAACATCTCTAAAACAATTTTTCAATATATGTTATTTAAAAACTGTTTGCTAATATTAACACCGTTCGTAATTATAAATTTTTAATCAAATTAGCAAGCGAATAAAATTCAGTTTAGAGAAATATTGCATTATGAAAAAGATAACAATGATGAATAACAACATTCTATGTATAAAATATATTTTATTATATTTAAAAAAATATTTTCAAAACATACATATATATATATACATATATATATATATATACACACCCTTTTGTACCCTATACACACACACACACACACACACATATAGAGTACAAAATATACATAAAGTGACTTCATTTGTCAAGGTCACTCCAATAAAATTAGCTCAATTAATTATATTTACGAATACAACAGAAATTATATATACATCTCAGAATTATATAAATAAAGTACAAGTCATATTTCATAAGTATTGTTAATACTTAAAACTGACCCCTTATTAGAGATAAAAATAACTTACAGTTACATGCCAAGGTTGATACAATGGACTATCAGATAAGTACTATTTGAAAAATGATTTAATTTATAATTTTCCGTAAATTGTACATACACAATATTTGTACATACAACAAAAGTGCCGGAATCATTCAAAGTCTCATATACACACATGTATTCTATATTGTTCTTAAAATAATTCTTGTAAGCTAAACTTAGTTTTGTTAATGCTGATATTACTCTCCTTAATTTCACATATAGATAAAATTAAATCTGAAACATAAAAGTTTTATAAAATACTATGTATTTCATTTCTTTGTATTGCACAATTGTATTCTCGTATTTACCTGCACAATGACTGTGGCAAAGATGAAATTATGGGACCGTATCCTTGCGAGTTATCATACAATTCAAATAACGGTGCGGCGACTAATTTATAGTTCTTCGGTACAGCAAAAAGAGCTGATAAGGATTAATTTTCATTAGTACGCTTATAGATACTTGATAGGCTTACGCATACTGCTTGATATCGATAAATCTTTTCAGTCAAATTTATCAATATACCTTTCTCTTGCAACTGGACGAGAAATAATCTTTTATGCTCCTTCGGTTTTGTAATGTGGGGAGGTACATATGGATATTGAGGAGGCTCGAAATTTGGACGCCACCAGTTGCCAATCGTGTCCTCTATAACCCATTCCTGCTTCACCCCATCCTGTCGTCCAAAGGTCTAGAAATCAATCCAATTTTTTGTCTAATACTGCACTGATATTGAGCTTCGAAAATGAACTATAAAATAAAATACATTCTTCTTTCGTTAGTCCACTAAGAACATGGTTGCACAATGTGTATTGTTATGTCTCAAAACATTTTCGGTGGTCACATAAGGATATCAATTTTCACAATATTCAAATTAATAATCGATACGTAGCAGTATGTTCCTTTAAAATCTAAAGCTGATACATGGCTGTTTGCCGAAAGCACACATATCTTTCGTGAGACACATACGGTTCTTACTACGTATCTTACCGATCCCTAATTAGACAAAACCGCTGTTGCATGCGCATTGATAGTTTCAGTCAAAAACATGACAAAATTACGAATGTTAAGTTTATTAATTGCATCGTGGCCTAACAATCGTAGATGAATTCGAGCCAGGCCTACATATATATCGTGCCGATTTTATATTTTCTCCTTATAACGGGATTCTAATTCTACTTCGATGTATAAACGGCTCTCTGAGCTTACAAAATTTCAAGAAAGATATCATTATACAATCTTCTTATTGTCGTACAATCTTCGTATTATACCTCTTCCGTTTCTTTTTTCTAACATATACAAAAAAGGAGGATAAGAACAATGTTCTTAGCTAACCATATACAATGGAACGAGTGATATATCCTCGCTATTAAGAACATCGAATTGTCCGGGCATGCAGCACGCTACAAGTAGGAAAATATAAGAATAAAAGAACAAGCCCCTATACGGAGCTACAGGCCCGGTTACATAAGTTCTACAAACATTTTCAGGATTTGTACAATATTTATAAAGACAATATTACAATCTAACATATCAAAGTGCCACTCCTAGCCAACCTGTAAGGCAGCGTAAGGCGTCGTGCTAACTGTTACCTCTGTAAGGAGCCGTTTTAGGCCCTCTACCTCGTCTTCTCCTGCATTGAGTTCTCCACCAGGTCTGAAATACCAAGAGAAAGCACAAAATGAGATCTATAATACATACAATATATATATAAATGGGGAGTCCCATTTTAAATGCCCCAGGCAAATATCTTGAAAAATATGGAAGAGACGGAAAAATGTTTCATATTAGAGTTGTATGGTTTCAAGGGAGACATAAAACAATTATATTATTTGGTTTACAAATGGCACCACTTTCGAGATATTTACTGATCATAACTTTTCTTAAGTGAAAACCCCCGTTTTTTATTATATATCATCTTTTACTTCTTCTTCTTCAATGGCGCTACAGCTCAAAAACAAGCCACGGCCTCCTGAAGTTTGGCCTTCTACTCATCACGGTCATGCGCATGTCGTCTCCAATCCTTCACGCGCAACAAGGATCTCGCGTCTGCAGCCACTCTATCCTCCTATCTCGCTCTTGATTTTCTCCTTAGTTCATTATATAGCTTAGCTACCAGTACTTTCTTTGGTATCTTTGTAACCTCTAGATGTTGCACATGCCTAGCCCATCGCATTATTTTCAAATGCTGCGATAGGTGCCTTATATAGTTGATATAACTCATGATTATATCTTATTTTCCATACCTCTTCTTCTTGAACTGGCCCATATATCTTCCGCAAAATCTTTCTCTCGAAAGCATCCAGATCTTTCGAGATTTGTTACATCATCAACCACGTTTCTCCTCCGTAACCACACTACATATTAACTTTTTGTACAGCATGATTTTGGTGTTGTTTTATGCACGTCTCTGAATTTCATTATTGGTATTAGCGAGAAGTATATTCTATTTACTGCTTTGATCCTTTCTTGCACATCTTTAGTTTCATCGTTGTCCACGGTTATTACGGAACCAAGATATCTGAGGTCTTGTACCTTATCATCTTCTTCTATCAATTAAGGAGGGTAATCCATGTAACTGATCCAAAAAATCGATTTTTTTTTCATAAAACGGTAGTAAAACATATAGGCTGCGTTCCGATATTCACTGCCAGTACTGAAAATCTATAATATACGTAACACAAACCATGTATTTTCTGTACTGGTAGTGAATATCGAAACGCAGCCCAAGTCTCGAAAATATACTCTCAAAGTTATACAGCGAAATTCGAAGTCCTACGAATGCTACGGCTACACAAAACAGTATGCATGTCAATGCCGCCAGGTATACCGGCGCGCACTCAGAGCATACGAGTCTCTCTCTAATCCCCCTGTATCGTTATGTGACGCAGAGCAAATATTTATGCAATATTATATTTGTATAATATTTAGTTTACTTTATTTCGCACGGTAAGTCGTGCTCCGAATTTCGGGCTATGCAGAATAGTTCTAATCGGTAAAATGTTGTCGTATCCGAAAGGAACTAAGTAGCAACGCAGCCAGATAACTATGCCGGCAAAAAGACGCTTTCATGGCAATCAATTTAGTGATAAAAATGGTGAAAATATAAGACAGAATACGAGTGTAAGAAAATTAAATCTAGTAGTAGCAATGAGAATATTAATTGGAGTCCAATGCACTATTATTAGATTATCGAATTTTGTATTGTGTTTACTATACTTTCAAACCATTTTATTTGCCGTGAGTATAAACAAAATGTGAAAATTGAGCAAGCAGGAAATCGTATTTCAAACTTGTAGTGCTTGCATGCTGTTGCAGATGTTGAGACATCAGTTCAGGACTTTTTATTGACAATGGATTTGAAATTAATCGCAGGATTGTGTTTGTCATGCAACTTTTAGACATCGGCGAAAAAGGAATGTTTTCTGCAGTCTTATGTAAAACCTACGCTAAAATGTTGACAAACACCGACTGGAAAGGTAGGAGCACTGCAGCTTGAGTAGCACCAGAGAGGCTGGCTCGAAAATAGCAATTTTTAGAGTAAAATGAATTGTACGAGGAAGAGGAAAGATTATTGTAATTCTGTAATTGCAAATTAGCAATAAGTACCCGTAAGTTATTAAAAACTTTAACTTTTTGCTTCTCGATATTTTAAATGCGTTTTTCTTGAAAGTAGTTTTCTCAAATTGGCCCGCACGATAATTCAAAAACTAATTAATCAATCACTCCGGTTTTTTGCACACACCTAAATAAAAGCATTCTCTTCTATAAAATAATTTTGATTAAATAATTACATTAAACAATTCTTTTCCTTGAAAGACAAAAATTTTCTGTAAATTTCTACCTTACTGCCATGCCGTTTTCTTTCTATTCAACTTTTCTCTTTACTTTTAGGTTCATTGACAACGCAAATTCAGAGTTAGAAACAATTTTAGTTTTTGGTTTTAGATTAATATAGCACGTCAGAGTGCGAGCTATTTGAAATCACGGATATCAACAATTGCCTTTAAAATCCACTATATTGATATTATTCTTTTATGCAAATAATATTTTTCATTTGTTTGAAGCACCAATTAAGTCTTCTGAAAGTTTCAAAAGTATCTTACACTTAATATTTTTCTTGTAATAAATTCATGAAATACTGCCTTTTGTCATCGAGTTATATGGATTATTCCCCTTAATTTTAACAGTTTTTATCTGAAACATCTTTTATTTGCCTAATATTCTTGAGATATTTAAGAAAAACTTAATAACTTTTTCAATATTTAACTTACGATATCTCGCTAACTATTTATCGAAAGAAAAAATAATACTAGACTTTTTTACTCTACTTGGGGCTGGTTATTCCAACTTCTTAATAAGTTAACTAATAGTTAAATAGTTAAATCAGTCTGTTTTTGTCTAAGTTGACTGAAAAACAAAGAAAAACATATGATTTAATCAATTAACTTACCAAAAAGTTGAAACAATCGGCCCCTACTCTCAAGAATATATTGTTACAATAGTGCCCTGACTTTTGTTAATTTGATGATTTTGAAATTTTCAAAAGTCGATGAGTTAACAAAAGTTAGGACACTATTGTAACAATATATTCTTAAGACTAAGTAGGGTAAAAAAGTCTATTACTATTTTTTCTTCAGACAAATAGCGAAATATCCTAAGTTAAATATTGGAAAAATTATCAAGTTTTTCTTAAATATCTCAACAAATATTAGGCAAATAAAAAAATGTTTTAGACAAAATGTTCAAATTAATTGGTAGAAAGAGATGATATAATAAATTAAGATTTCCATTTAAGAAAAGTAATGATCAATGAATATCTCGAAAGTGGCGCCATCTGTAAACAAAATAACATAGTTATTTTATGTCCCCCTTGAAACAACTCTTGTATGAAATATTTTTCCGTATCTTCCATATTTTTCGAGATGTTTGCCTAGGGTATTTAAAATGGAACACTTTATATATCCTATATAATAGAATATCCTAATATACTAATACTAAATTGCCCAATCTTACAGCTTTATAAAAACTTACAATTTGAAGAATGTTGTGCCAAGTTGCAGAAGAAGGACGTGCGGTAATCCGTGTTCGTGCACCAATAAGACGCCTTCTACGCTTCTCCGCATGCCGATCTTGTCGAATTCATCTCTCATGCGCTGAAACCTTGCTGGTACTGATGGATCTTTCTCGAAGAGTGGCTCTTTTGTTCCAAATGTATAGTTTGTCAAAGGATATCTATGATAAATGAGTCGTATTCTTTTGTTAGGCTATTATATGTTTAATTTAATCTTTGGGAAACTAAATCCGGTTTCTTCAAAAATAAAACCTGACATAATATTACAATGTTCAACCATATAAACTATCCAATGTTCACAATGTATGACATCTACATACAATTCTTCTTTCTATCAATATTACTTTCCATATTTTAATTTTAGCAACATTTATATTTTTATATTCCTAATACGAATAACAGCAGAGTAAGAACAAAGAGAAAAGTAGTATAAAATACACTTCAATCATAAAAAGAATTGCCTTACGAATATTGAAAAAAGCCTTTATTTCTTAATATCAAATATATCTCTAATATTAAGGGAATTGCAATAAATACGCAAAATTTTGTACATATAAAAATTTGACAAACTGTATGATTATATCTATTCCATTATAAAATGGAATTTTATAAGTCCAAGAAAAACAAAATTTTCGTCTTTTATTATATTTCTTTTATTTGCATATAATGCAAATTATTAGGTTCATATTGCAATTTAAACATGATTGTAAATATGGAACAAAGTACAAATGCTGCAATATAATACACACGAAATATTATATCTCATATAAATACATTTTCTTTCATTTAATATAAAATTGCATCGTTTTTTCTCTCAAATTTCAACATATACATTTACAAAATATTTTTATACATTGTTACGTGAGGTGTAATCTTTCGGTAATTGATGTATCAAATTTGGTACATGCCAAATGTGATTTGTTATTATTATGGCAACATAACAATTAGCACATGTATTAAAAGGCAAATAATACATGCACATTTAATTACTGTTCCACTTGTTTCAATTGTTTATTAAGAAAACGCTTATATCTCGCTTATATACGCAATTCATTACACCTTCGTATATATTCTTAATAAATATGTTTTTATATTTCAATTATATGCAGTAATTTTATAACAAAACATTGTTTTGCAACATTATTAAAAAAAAAAACATTATTAAACATTCTTTTCATCACAAAACAATTCAATCAAATCGAGAATTAATATTTGATAAATATGTGAATATTGTCAATCAAAATTGTACACATTTTTGTCAAAATTGTTAACATGTGTTAATCCAATTTGTACATTTGTATATCTGCAAAAATAATTTGCAATACCAAATTCAGGATATAAAATAATGTGCAGAGATATAGTATCATAAATGCAGATATAATTATAAACATAAAGTGGTAATAATTCATATATACGCTTATGATATTATATAGATATCATATACAATCGCGTTTGTTTTAAGAGTTTCTATAGCTCTTGCATAAAGGACACAGCAATATATTACACATGGCAAAAGATAATATAGTAATAAATAATCCTCAGTTGTATATATGTATATATATATACACATACATGTATATAACTGAATACATACATACATACATACATACATACATACATACATACATACATACACACATACATACATACATATAATTTCTAACAAAACAACAAATTGATTAACCCTTTCATGAACTAAGCATTATTCTTTAATATTGCAAAGTCCTTTATACAAAACCCATTATTATCCTCTTATAACAACTATAGTAAAAAAATTCGCAATATATATATATATATTACATACTATCTTAAGATAATCATTAAGTATACATATATAATTATAACTACCAGTGTAGAAGATACATATACATATATATATATAAATATGATATCTTACATGAGGCCTGTTCTTTTTAGTTGCACGGGGACTGCACTGGAACAGAAGTAGGTTACGCAAGGCAAAATAAATAAATTTTCACGAATGAAAAATTAGAAAGGAGAATAAAACATTTGTCAATCAACAAGATATTATAATGTTTGTCACCAATAAGAAGTAATTCACTAAGTATATATAAATTAGTATAAATTTTTGCATTTTATTATATATCATATATTTTACTTATATATACATGCCTATATAATTACATATATATATACTTACATATATAACATATGTATATATATGTATATATGTATGTAAGTATATAATATATGTAATAATTTGTACATGTATATTATATTTAAGATTATCATCTCTTTAATTTTAGATAATAAACAAATTATATCTACAGACCCTAGTTCATTAAATTTTACTATTCACATTGTCTTTAAAAAAAGATCATATGTTTAATATAATTTCTGTGAATAAACTTCTAAAAACTACCTGTATCTAATAAATGCTATAAATTTAATGCCAAAGGTATATAAGTAACATCATATATCTACTAGTATTATGTTACTTTCCTAGATTCATCTATGTCCTATATAATTATATGTTTACATGATAATATAAATAAATATTTATTCTAACTTGACCTAACTTATTGCATTTATGTTAATTGCTCTATTTTTTAAACATTTATCTATAAAAAGGTTTCTATAAATTAGATAACTAAAATGATGCTGGATAAACAAATATATAATCACAATTTGATTTATCCAGGAAAGTAATGTAATATTATATAACATTATTAAAGCTTTTTTGATATTAAACTTTCTTGTGAGTAAAAGTTTATTGAAGGACATTGGTTTGAAATCATTTGAAATACTTTCATCAAAACTGATATCAATAGAATATGAAAGGTCCTCAGAAGTTCATCCATTTCTACTTGCAAATATAATATTTTAATATATTCTTCTTGCACTAGTGCAGAAAATTCAGCTAAAAAGAACAAACCTATGAGATGCAAGAGCAAAATTATGAGCAAAATATATATAGAATTTTCTTAGCATTGAGCATCACAGAATGTACAAACTTAGGAAGTAAGATAGCCTTGTTAATTTTAATTTACAGCTGATTGACCGTGCATATAAGATCTCTTAAAATATATATATGTATTTACTGTACTTTTTGACAATTAAATCCAAAAAGGTGGTATTGGAAATCTTTCCATCTTCGCACGCATATGACAAATCAACAATCAATATTTCATATTGTGAATGAAAAAGAAAACTAAGACAGTAACTACACGAGTAGATTTTATGGTATTAGTTTATAACATAACATCATGGAGAGGAAATAATGCTTGACGCTTTATGTGAATCAAATGTTGAGACATCTCGAATAATAATTTGTGCGAGAATAAGGCATATAATACTAAACATTATGAAAATTTATCTTATACGATCGAGAATTCTAAGCAAGTGATATCGTTACGAATTATGTACAGATATTATTTGCACAATACTATCGATGATATGCAAGTCATAATGGCTCTTTACTGATACATAATACATTCGTTATATTACTGTCACGACTTGGTGACAAAATGCATATTATCTATATATATGTCAAGATCGGTAGATAGGAGTTGCTTAAAATCTCGAACCTTCGTGCTTAAAGAAAAGATGAACAGCCGCTTCATGGTTATACCATATAAGATGAAACGAAAGGACTTTAGGAGCACAATTTTAATTACTAGCGTCACTCCTCGGCCATAGTTGCTACAGAGTCAGAACACATGAATTCCAGAGATCGTGAATGTGAATTAAACCACACCTTACATTTGCCACTTACAGATTAACTGTTCTGTTGATGGTCACAGATTGATTCTGCACCACTTTTCCCTCGAATGAGCTATTACTCGCTCGCCGTGGCCATCCGCTGCCCTTGACTTGGCTCGTTGCCATCGCCATTTCTTCCTCAATTTCCTAACGTCCGCAAACCGAGCAACCAAGAAACGAACGCCACGCGCGGAGAAAATTGCCGCCGGTCGAATACGCAACAAGGACTGAAAATACGTAATTCAGTGTTAGGCAAATTGCACCTATTCGATCAATGCCATTATGAGTGTCACTAGTTGCAAACTCGAGAGGCCAATCCGACATAAGTATTAACTCCTGCAAGCGAATCACGTGTATACAAGTATTATGTTAGCCAATCATCTTTCGCTAGTAGTATAGAACCAGAGAGAAAAATAAGAGGAGTCATGGGCCACTTTTAAAGCCAGCGGCACACGGTGCTTGTTTTCGTGCTGGATTGCTTGCTGAATGAAAATGCTGCGTTCTGATTGGTACATTTCCGAAGATCGATGGAAATGCATCAATCAGAACGCAGTATTTTCATCCAGAAAGCAATCCAGCACAAAAACAAGCACCGTGTGCCGCTGGCTTAATAGGCTGCGTTTGAAAATCCAACTCTCTGGGTAGAGTAGGGTTAGTTGAGGTTACACTAGCAACCTAATTCGAGTAACACCGAGTTAAACGACTTTTCAAACGCATAAAGTAAAGTCAATAACAATGGCGATACACAGAGTTCGGCGAGATCATTTGTTATTATATGTGACAATAAACAGTCAAAAATTATTAGAAATATTAATAACGGCTATCAATGAAGTTGAAAATTGTGAAACTAAAGATAATATAATAAAAAATATATTAATAGAAGATATTTGTCGAATCCGAGGGAAACGAAAAAACCTGTGCGTATAATAAGTTATGTTGAAGACATATCTCGTTATATGATACATCAGTTTCGGCATCATTTCCGAATGATGCCAGGTTTTGAAGCCGTAGAAAATCGTTTAGGGCAATTATTAACTAATGAGGAAAGTTGTGGACGGCCTATAATACCTGTACGCGTACAACTGTTGTCAACTGATTTGGCTTCTTGCTACACCAGTGCTGCGATTCTGTAACTTGTTATTGGAGTTAACGACACTTTCGTTATCGTTGCGCAGCGTTTCTACGGTATACAAAAGCTGCGCAACGATAACGAAAGTGTCGTTAACTCCAATAACGAGTTACAGAATCGCAGTACTGGGGCCCTATTCTTGAATCTATACAAAACTTTACATATACGCACGTTGCGAATAGTGAAAATGCGCATACATTTCTGACACGGTATTCTGGAACTTAATTGTGTAGTATTCGCAACTAGAAATGTATACGCTTTCCGTTGCGTTTAATTACGTTTGACAAAATTGGAAAACATATGTACACCCACGGTAATCGATTCTGTCCTTTGGAAATTTTCACAAACTGAGAAGTGACTACGTTTCTACACTACTCACAGTCCATGCACGATAAAATAACTAAATAACGAATAAAATAACTAAAACTTACGCTCGCTTATGGAGGAGTCCGATATCCGACATAATAATAATAATTTTCGGAAGTTTTAAATAAATAAATACAGTGAGTATAGGAACAATTTTGTCAACAGCATGCAGAATACGGTAAGTTGTAATAAGCTTTATTTATATTTTGATGTTTCAGTAAAATTCAGCGTGAAAATACCGTAAATATATCATATAACCTATACATATGGTATTTATATGGTTTTTATTACTTTATATTTAGATATTGTTTAGGATTACGAATCACTTCCGTGATTGTCCGTTTTAGTATTTTTTTCCCAAATCTCCGTGGAAAAGACGGTAACAATAGGATATGCGGATCTTGGCACGAAGTGCGAGAAAGCGCAAATATTATTTGGCTGAAACAATTCCAGGAGGCTAACATTATAACATTTCAGATAAGTTTCCTTTTCTCTAAAAGTTTTACGAATTGCACTAAACAAGAACAATTGCTTTGTGGATTATTTATTTTTCAGAAATGTCAAAGGAATTAATTAATTAATATGTATGGACAGAACCTTATGAAGACTTCTTCAATGAAAGATAAATAAAAGACACATAGTCTATTGTTTGGTAAGGAACCGTTACTAAAGTTATATTTGCAAAATCCACCATTCACAATCGACGAAATGCTTCAAATGAATATTTCAAATTTAAAAAACATATAACTATACAAAACAAGCCAGTTTAGTTTATCGACTGGCGAAGAAAATGAGAGCGATTAATAATTTATAACTATATCACAATAATAACATTTAACATATAACATTATTAAATTAATTCACTTGTTCCCCGTAGCAGCGTTGCAACAAAGAGAGCTGAAAACAGAAAGAATAAAATAAAACTGAAAATGTATGAATGCATAAAAATATTAGGTTATGAAAATAAAATTGTCTTTCAGAAACATTATCGCATAATACAATTCTATGCAATTTCTTTTAATATGTCGATATTACCTCAGTAATTTACAGCGTGTCCATCGTTGGCCAATATACTCACTGCATATATTTATTTAAAACTTCAAAAAATTATTATTATTATGTCGGACATCGGACTCCTCCATAAGCGAGCGTAAGATTTAGTTATTTTATTAATCGTGCATGGACTCTGAGTAGTGTAGAAACGTAGTCACTTCTCAGTTTGTGAAAATTTCCAAGGGACAGAATCGATTACCGTGGGTGTACTTTCTACAAATATCAACCAAAAATACGATACGACGAACTTTAATTGGCTGCGTTCAGCAGAACAAAGTGGAAAATATGGAACTAATATGGAACTAAAGCCAGCGGCACACGGTGCTTGTTTTCGTGTTGGATTGCTTGCTGGATGAAAATACTACGTTCTGATTGGTATATTTTCGAAGATGGATGGAAATGCACCAATCAGAATGCAATATTTTCATCCAGCAAGCAACCCAGCACGAAAACAACCATCGTGTGCCTCTGGCTTAATATGGAAAAATCTTCTTGGTTCTTCCATTATTTCAGCATGCTCTAACGCATTTATAATTGTTGTTTTATAACTGTTGTTTGTGTATGTTTACTATTATATCGTCTAAATCCATTATTGTTACACAATTTTACTCTATAATTAAAATGCAGTGAATTTTATATGCTATTTTCTCTTAAATTTCGTATTTATTATTTCTCTCTTCATTCTTCTTCTTAATAACAGTGTACTTCTATGTGTACTCTTATATTCCACTTTCTGTACTTTGCATAACGTATCACATACGTTTCGAGAGAAATGGATGGTATTACCAGAGAGAAGAATGAGAGCGGCCACCGGCTATATTTCGGGGGATACGGCTAGGCGCATTTTAGATACGCCATCTGACCAAAATGTGCCTAAACTACGTCCGCTAGGCGCACTTTCACGGTGATAAAAGTAAAATGCGCCTAGGTTCGTGTCCGTACTACTCCCATGCAATGGATAGTAGATTAGAAAAAGACAGACGACAGACAATCGTTCCGTCTTTGTCTCACTACTGAGCGGCGCGCGGCAGTAAACACGAGGCGAGGTAGCGGCGATCTTATCGCTAAGCGAACATCTCTCCGCTTTTCTTTCATCTTTCACGCTCCAGAGACATCAAAAGACGCGGTAGCGTCTCGTGTCAAGGGAACGTGCGAAGCGAGGAATTATTTTTCACGCACGCGAGGTAGCACATGGGAGACTAGACGAGCGTCGACATATTATCTGTTTCTTTCCCGCTCGTCTAGCTTATTGACTGCGTGAGCCGCGAGATTTTTCTCGCTACTCCTATACCTCACTCTTTCTCTCTCTCTCTCGCTCGTTCTTTCTCTCTCTCGCGCACTTGCTCGCTCTTCCTCTCTTCTCGTGTTCTTACGGCTTGGTTAAATATATTAATTACATGACAATATATATATATAAATAAATGACACATATATAGTGTATATGTATATAAAGAATATTTAATATTAATGCACAAATAAAGAAGAGAGAATTATAATGAGAGACGAAAAGTTAATAGAAATCCACTCTTAGCCAATATATACATCTTTTAAAAATGATTTGTTATTAAAGTATATGACAGAATAATTTATTTATGCTAATAAATTTAAATTAAAAATTAAATGAAATGTTATTTGTTTTGTAAAAGATATTCCATTGTTACATTTTTCTTTTCGTAGCAAAAATAAATTTAGTCTAGTAAAAGAAGAAATTAGTTTTATTATCATATTTCAATTACGACTTTATTATTTAATTTTACGAATAGGTAACGTGCATATTGTTGCTCAACGGAAACCGCGAGAAAATGGTGATCTCCGTCAAAAAATAAATGCAAACTTTTTAATAATATAATAATTTTTTTACGTAAGTGTTTGTTTTTATAGTATAACCTGTTGAATTTTATTAATTATTAATTCAGCATGTTATAATATAAAAAATATATTTTAATATAAAAATTAATGTAATATTAATTGTTTGCATTTGCAAGAAATATGGATAGAACAGGATAGGTTGCAATGATACATAGGAAGAAAAAAGATAGATGGATAAATAGATAGATAGATAGATATAGAGATAGATATAGATGGATAAATAGATAGACAGGTAGATGGATAGATAGATAAATAGATAGATGGATAGATAGATATAGAGAAATAGATAGATAGATAGTTAGATAGTATAGAAAAAAAGATAAATAGAAATATAATTATCATTATTATTATTATTAATGTTTTCAGTTTCAAGAGAACATTCGCTTAAACGTAAGTCTTACTTAGGTCCAGTTACGAATGTTAACACTCGTAAAGTCAGCCGAGTTTTAAACATCTCGTAGAAACAAGTGCTTCAACTCATCAATATAAATGTAGAGGAAAGTAACCGAAACAGCCAAAAACCTCCTACAGAAAGGAAGAGATTTGAGCATAAATTCATATTCAGTAGCTTCGAGACATTAAGTCAATTAGACATTCCATGTTAATGTAAGTTGCATATTAAATAATAATCATTCATTGTTAATCTCTTTTCTGCTTCGCATTTATTTTCGAGCTTTTTGCATTATGTTTCAAATCAGCATGTTAATCTTTGACTTGCGAAAGGAATTGTTCAATTAACAATTGAAACTTAGAGAATGTAATGAAAGGCCATATATCATTGATAATTGATATGAGCAATTTCAATCGGTTCAATC